GAGCCATCTCCCTGTCCCCCCTTAATACTTCTAAGAGATTTGTAATTAGATTCATTAAAATGTGCTTCCAGTGGCTGTTACCAGTATTTTCATAGGATCTGATATATCACATAAAAATAATTATTACTGAGCTAATCTTACAGTCCTCCATATCTGAGTTATCACAGCAAAAAGAACTGGTAAAGATGTGATGGCTGGAAATCTACAAGCTGAGAGGAACGTCTCTAATATTAAAGGGGGAAGGAGTTACAGCTAAAATGCAAACAACAGTTTCATTTGCTTTCTACACTAACTCAAAAGCTAAAGACATGATATCCCCAAATTACATAAAATCAATTCTGATACTCAATTCACTTCAAAATATTCCCTGCCTTAGGCAACCAAACAACCCAAGAAATACAAGAGAGTTTACATAATCTTCATTGTCCCCACTGCATCCCCATACCTATAAGGCTGTACCTCTCAAGCTCGGATTTACACACCCTGGAATGCCACCACCCTCTCAACCACTGCTTTATACTGTGCGGCTTCTTGAATGTTTTCCCACAAACTGAGTGTTAAATGGCTCAGGACTAAGCATTTATTCTGCAAGGCCATCAAATGCAGGGGAAAATGTAATTAAGTCAGAGATCAAGAGCCCAAATTTGAAAGGGCGGGGCTTGTCTTGGGTTCTCCCTCGCCTGCACCTACTGATTACAATTCCGGGGAGACAGAGTTGCCCCTACTAGCGCACCCGGTAACTGGAGAATAAAGCTCCCGTTCGCAGAGCAGGGAGGTTCCGAGGGGCGCGTTGCATTCTGGGACTGGTTTCCACAGTTACCCACGTGCACCCAACCCAACCGAGTCCTGGACTACAAGCCCCAGAATTCCGCTCGCCAGCCTTTCCCCTTCACACCCGGCGATTGGAGCCAGACCCTAAAGGAAACCCCTAAAGTGCCCGTCCCGCACGCTAGGGTGAGGTTGCACCCCTAGGGCGCTGCACTGGTTCTCCTACTGGACCTTCCCTTCTAAGAAACGAGTCCTGAGGCTTCAGCCTCCACACCTGATGGCTAGAAATTAGACAACTGCGTCACAGACTGCAGCCAAATCCACTGACTGCCAGGGACCCCAGCACCTTTCCTGCGCAAACCCCCTATGGCCTCCAGGGCCCAATCTCTAGGGCTCCCACCGCTGAGTGCCCCGCCGCCCGCTCCCCTACCCCGCCTCCAGTCCCACAGCCAGAGCCCGCACCAGCGCTGACCTCGCTTCCCGCCGCTCGCTCGGGAGAGCAGCGGCCGGAGCCACCCGGGACACCTCCCCCGTCCTTTCGGCCCCGCCCCCTCCGCGCACCCCCGGGCTCTCAGCTCCCGCTCCAGGGACCCAGCCCCGATCAGGGGGAGGAGCCCCCACCCCGCCCAGCCCCACGCGGACCGAATCTGGACCTGACAATCCCCCCCCCGCCCCCAGCCCTTCCTCCCGCTCCCAAGTAGCTCTCCCCCCACCACTTTCCCTGCCCCCATCCGGCCACCCCAGTCCTCGCCGCCGCCGCCGCCTCTTCCCCTTCGCCACACCGTCCCACACCTGCCCCTGAACCCTCGCCACTCCGGGTTGCCCACCAGCCCTCTACCTCTCCCCAGCCCAGGGGACTCCCCAACTCTTTGCACCCCAATGTCTCCCGTTACATTAGCCCGCACCCCTTGGCCAGCCCTTCTGCCCCGTTCGGCAGTTGCCCCCGTTCCCCCACCCCATTGTTCCCCCCACCCTCGACAGCCCGTCTTCCCATTGTCCCCGCCCCCGCGCTCCCCTCCACTCACCCCCTCCTCTCTGAGCCGCCTGCCTTGGTCAGCCCCTCGGAACCCTCAGCCCGGCTCCCATACCCTCCCTCTCCCTACGCCGGTGCCACCCCCGGCCCGGCCCTGCCCGCCAGCGCCCGCCGCCCCTCCACCTCCATTCACCCCGGACACTCGGGTCCCGGCCCTTCATCGCACGTCCGCCCCCTTCCCCCAACCCTGAAATAGAGCCAGTCCCCACCCCCTCACCTCCGCCCTCCCCGCAGGCCGGCCCCTTCCCCCTACGCCCGCCCCCGCCCCCGCCGCCCGCAGCGTCACCGCCCGCCCCGGCCCGGGAGGGGAAGGGGTGGCTCCAGGGCAGGGGCTCCAGGCGCTTTTCGGGACCAGGAGACATGGGGCAGGGTCAGTGGGACCCAAATGGAGAGTGCCGGCGACCGCCCAGCCCGGGCCGCTCGCGCTCAGCTACTCACTGACAGCTGCAGCATCCGAGTGCATTTTCGGGCAGCTCACTCGCCGCCCGGGCTCCCGCGCTTGCCTCGCGGTCCCCCCACCGGCTCACCGCACCTCTGCTGAGAGATGAGAAGCCGCCGCCAGGCACTCTGGGCCCGCCCATCTCGCCTTCTCTATTGGCTGGTCCTCTGCTTAGGGGCCGCCCCTCTTCGTTTCTGATTTGGTAAAAAGAGTGCCGATAGCGCTGATCAGAGGCGGACAGCGAGGCCCCGCCCCTAACTCGCAAGGTGATTGGTCCCAAAGTCTAGCCTCCGTAACGCCCCTGGCAGAGGCCACGCTCTGAAATAGCTGGTTGGTCCGAATTGCTGTCAGTCATCCCTGAAGTCCAAAAGCGCGTGTAGGGGCGAGGCTGGGGAATTGGTCCACCTTGACCCTGAAGCCCCGCCCTGTGACGGGCGGGATTGGTGGAGCTGGAGACCAACCGAGAAAGAAGGGTGGGTGTCTGAAACAAAGCAGGGGAGGTGTAGCCCTGGAGCGAGGAGGGGACGCTCAGATGGGGCAACTCGAGTCCTGCAGTTCAGGACTGCAAGGTTCGCCCGTCCGCGGCGCTCGGCGCGACGAGTCCCAGCCCCGCACCACTTTCCCGCACGCTTGGCCGCGGCTCTCTGCTGTGCCCAACTTGGACTTGGACCTCTCGACCAGCGCGGTTTCCCACCGCAGGAAACGTAAAACATTTGCTCGGTCTTCACGTCTACGAACTCCTCTGCAGGGAAAGCACATCATGTTTCCCCACGAGCTACCCTCTCCCACTTTTCGAAATGCACTTTTCTAGAGCCGCCTTCCTCGCAGACGGCGGTGGAAAGGGCTTCGGAGTTTCCAAAGTCAAAAATTTGCACAATTTCAATGAGTTGTGCCTTGTATTTTGATTGCCTCAAACCAAACTCATCGACCCCCACCTTCGGATAATGGATCGCTGTTTGAGACTTCACGGAGGAACGCCCTCGCCCCCACCCGCAAGCACACACAGTCCGTCTTCCTCCCAGGGCCCGGCCCCAGCCCCAGCCTCCACCTGGGCGGTCTGCAGATCACGCCACCAAGTGTGGATGGCACAGGCAACTACCCATAACAAAAAGATCAAGTCATTTGGATTTTAGATTCCTACAGCCAAGACTACTCAGTTTGAGGGTTCTGAAATTTAGGTTTCAAATTAGGACATGAATGTTACTTCAAAATCAAAATATTTGGAAGCATGAGTCCAGACAAACGAGCTCTGTAGCCCACAGCACTCTCCTAGTGATACGCTCCCATCACTCTTAATCCCCCGTATCTGTTTACTAAGTTACATTCTTAAAATTTTAGCAGTCATATCTTCATCACTGAGGCATTTATGAACTACTTCATCTAATCATAGAACTTAAGAATTGTGTATAAAGTTTCCTCTCGAGGAATTTTAATAAAACATCCCCACTGGTGCTCTGTAACCTGTCAGAACCTCAACTACTCTCTGCAGAACCAGGTTGGTACCTCTGTGCTCTGAGACAGGAGAGACTTGTTTGAGTAGATCTATTAAGAAAGTCTGTTATTATCCAATAAGAAAGACTTACTTTTAAGGAGGCAGGATTCAGACTGGGCATGGTGGTGCGCGCCTATAATGCCAACACTTGGGAGGCTGAAAACAGGATATCAGAGTCGGATCTGCGTAGTGAGACCCTGTAAACCCTGTACTAAATACATTAAAAAAAAAAAAAAAAAAAAAGCTTTTTTTAAAAAGGCAGGGTGCTCCTGCATTTTTGTTTTGTTTTGTTTTTTTGTTTTGTTTTTTTCTTTGTGGAATCGGGAATTGAACTCAGGCCCTTGTGCTTGCCAGGGAAGCGCTTATTCCATTGAGCCATCTCCCCGGCCCACTCCTGGATTTTTATGCCATTTGTGTTTTTAGCCTAATCTACACCCACAGACTTAAAAAAAAAAAAAAATGCATATTTATATATAATGTTTAAATCTTTCATGTGCGTAATACTTACATGTGATCATAGTATTAAAGGACTATGACATTTTGCAAGGAAAAGGGCTTGTTTCTTTCTACTTCCAAATTAAAATACATCCATAACTTGATTTAACTAGCCACTACTGATTCATCTGTGGCAAACTTTACTATTAAATATTGGTATGTGAAGGACATGTGACTTTTTTCTCAAAACTCCCTTAACACATACATTGTATATTTAAAAATCTACAGAATGCATAATATTGGTTATTTCTCAATATATTTCAGTTGAATCACTATTATTTTCTTTCTTTTTTTATTTTAGGGAAGGGTCTACAGGGTGTTCAGGGTCTCACAACTAGATTGGACTCATAGTGATCCACCTGTTTACAGCCTCCCAAGAGCTGGGATTACAGGCGAGCACCACCACACCCAGTCTCAATCTCCGGCTCAGCCAGCCCTGGGGGTGGTCTGGCACAGCAGGCCCCAGGATGGAACCCCTGGCCCCTGGGCCTGCTTGCAGGTGCTTTAATCCGCTGAGCTATTTGGAGGGGCCTAATCACTATAATTTTCAAGTAAAATATGGAGTATTTCACCCAGATCTTTGTGATAGGTGAGATATGCGCTAAGGATTGAGAAGCAACCCTCAGCCTACTGAGACTCACTGTTCTGCATTTTATAAATAATAACACAAATAAAATTACTTTTAAAAATGCTCTGCAAATATTACGCAGTCATTTTAATTGTATATAAAATTCTAGACCTTCCAGGGCAGGAAGCTTGTTATATTTATCTTTTCATTTTGCTGGCACTTAGTACAGTGCTTTCAGGTAACAGGAACTGATTAATTGTTCTGAACAGTGAATTGAATGATGACTAACATGAAATGTTAGATGTGGAGGAAATGTGGGAGATTATCAAATCCAACTTCCTCATATTAAAAATAGGAAACTTGAAGTTCAAAGAAGTGTCTAATCTACAGGCCGGGTAGATAGCTTAGTGGCATAAGCACCTGCCTGGCAAGCGCAGGGTCCTGAGTTTGATCCCCAGTACAACAACAACAAAAACTTCTGATCTAAGTCTCATGACTAGTTAATAACAAAGCACTTCCTCAAATTCATATTTCCCAAGTCATAGCTCAGGTCTGTTTCCCAGTATTGCACAGTGCATTATAAAAGCTTCAGATTCCACAAATAAATGATCTGTTCTTCCTGCTTATTTGAAATTTAGTAGAATATCGGTCTTGTACACATTTTAGGTTCCAAATTTAGAATATTGCATTTTTTATGAAATTAGGAATTTTTTCAAAATATAGTAAAATATGCAAGCTGAATATTTTTTCTCATTGATAGTGCTCCCAAATAATATGATCTCTGTGGGAATGTTTACTGACATAATGAGGTCATACTTTTGTGTATTTGTGTCCAAATCCTAGGGGAAGAGGGGTTAATAATTGAGCATCTTGAGACTACAGTAGGTAGTCATATTTGGGGATCTAACTCTGCCATTTTATTTCAGTTGGTTGCCACTTTTAATATAATATTAAGGCAAGTTACATTAACTGATACCTCATTTCACTGGAAATTTCTATTTTATTAGTTTTACAATATTAACTTTAATTAGATATATTTTCAAATATTCTAATAGCATGTGGTACAGAGAAGTCTATTAAAAGAAAGAACAGAGCTCTGAAGTCAAATTTTAAACTTCTCCTCAGTTCCACAAATGCCATGATATATCACGCTTTCCTTCATGTGCAGGAGTATGTTCTGCTGTACAGAATGAGGGACAGCATAGCTTTCAAGACTCAAATAAAGCAGCAGCAGAGGTTCAGATCCCCAGAGTGCTGGCCCAGCCCCTAGGGTGTCCTGAGACACGACTGAGACCCGGCATGGTGGCGCACACCTGTAAATCGCAACGCTTAGGAGGCTGAACACAGGAGGATCCCTACAAGTCCTATCTATGTAGTGAGACCCTGTAGAACCTGTAGACCCTGTACCAAATACATAAATAAATTCTTTAAAAAAACTCGAATAAAATTGGACTTGCTCAAATATATAAATATGCCCCTTTTAGATTTGAAGAGAACAACTAAGAATACATGCAAGGAGAAATTAATGCAGCCTTCAAGTATAGTGAGTGTGTGGAAGTTCTCTAAAGTCAGGCTAATTCCATAACATTTCCATTACACAGACGTGAAAATAAAAGACTAACTGTATCCACAAGGGGATAAAATCAACAGTTCGCTATTCCAGATGATGACAGCTTTTTAAAGATGCTTTTCATGTGATAGGTCCTAATAGTGTTTTACTTGCAAACTGTACAACAATTCCATAGGGTATTAGTGTTATTCCCAATTTACAGATAAGTTAGCTGAGGCTTAGAGAGCTTTAGTAACTTACCACAGAGCTAATAAGTAAAACTATCCTTAAGTAGCCAACCTTCCTGTAACATAATAACATAATGTTATTATGCTGGACTTTGGTTCCTTCTCTTTTTGATCAGGTTAATATATGCCTATATAACTCATAGATTTATTCATAAGGATACAATAATATGGATGTGAGTGTATTTTTAAGAATTCATGAACCCAGACCTGATATTGGGCTTAATAGCACCTAAAGTGCTTCACCCCCCCCCCATCCCCTCAGTACTGGAGATTGAACTTGGGACCTTGCACTTGCCAGGAAGGTGCTTATGTACCGAGCTACCTCCTCAGGCCCTAAAGTGCTTTTGTAGGCAACTATATGTTACAGAAAACATAAGTCAAAAAGTTTATTTCCGGGTTACTATTTTGGTGGTACTAGGGATCGAATTCAGAACCCTGCACTTACCAGGCAAGGACTATATTCCACTGAGCTATCTCCCCACCCCAATCTATAGTATATTCTTAGTGGAATTAGTTATCTAAGATATGTAGTAATGCTGTTCTGGGTGTTACAATTTCTCTACTTGGGTAATTTCTCTGTGAAGGGAGGGCCTCTTTAGTATTACTGGAATTAACCTTTTAATTAATGAGGCCTGTGTTTGGGGGAACTTCTTTTAAGTTTTGATAGCAAAGACTAGCACTGTAATATAGGTTGCTTGTGACACAGAAACAAAACAGAACCTTCCAAATATCCACTTGACAGATGCTACAAGGGTAATAAAAATGTTGGTTTTACTTTTTGATATCTGCATACAGACAGGTTCCAACTAGCAGGTTAATGGAAAGAGACAAAGGTAGACATTCTCCTCATTGTTCCAACAGGGACATCCTAGCCTCACACTAGCAGGAACTGATAGACTGAAAGGATGGTATTTTTTACTGTCTATCATCCTTTATATTATGGTTTGTGTCTAAATGTCCCCCCCAAATTGTCATGTAGTCATGGGGCAGCTTCTAGAGTTTGTGATTAATTCATGATTAATGTGATTAATACTGGGATTATGGGTATGCGAGCTACACTCGCCCTGAGGCTGATAGCCTAAAAGCAATATAAAGGAGGGAATGAAGCTTGCTCTCTGCCACTGCTCCTCCCTTTTTGCTCTTGCTCTTTTGCTGTTAGCTGTCACCACAAACTGCTGCCCTCTGCCATGTGCCACCCTGCCTTGGAGCCAGCTGTGTATGGACTGAAACCTGCACAAATAAACCTTTCCTCCCTGTGAGCTAAATAAACCTTTCCCTCCTTAACTCTGGGTGTTGGGTATTTTGTCCCAGCAATGAGTGAAAAGTAACTGAGCCATATTACCATACTTTTTTTTTTTCACCAGTTTCCCTTTCCTTTGCCTATCTTACTTACCCTATCAGTCAGACAACTGAATTTTAAACACAAGCAAATGACCTCTTTTTACAATTTTCAAGGCACCTTTATAGAATTGTTATGTTCCCACAATGTGGAATTATAATGCACAATGATGAGACTCAGATTTGCTTTCACCAGTCTCCACGGGGGTTATAATATATTCCCCAAATTTAAAAAAAAATGTTACAGATGGAACTGACAACAGCCTTCTGGAACCAACTCTTCACTGGACACATTTTAGTCTGAGAAGCATTTTTTGCCATCGTATGTTGAAAATGATAGGCTCTGCCTCATACGGATGTTGTAAACATTAAATGAATGAATACAAGTAAAACACTTAGAAATGCCTGGCACATGCCATTTAATGGCCCATAAAAAATGTTATTGTCAGTGTTACTATGACTTTTATAGTAGCATCACATCACCAAACAAAGCCTTCCCTACCACACCTTGTTATCCCAAATCTTTCTTCTCTTGTAAGCTAGTTCCTGATTCTATATTTGCTGTTTTATTGCTTGGCTTCCTTCTTCCCTGCATTCTCGAGTTTATGGTGAATGCTGAATTAGGATGCAGAAGCCTCCTTCTCTGGCATTTGCCACCAATGTGAAGTAGCCTAGTTTGAAGCTGAATGGTGAGACCTTTCCCAGTTAAAAAAAAAAAAAAAAAAAAGCCACCCCCAATATTAATGTCACATCATTCAAACTGTTAGAAAACTAGCTTAGTGGTCCATACAGGGAGTTTAAACTGACAGAGGAAATTCCTATTAATATAGAAAGATGGTGTCCTAAGAAGATAAACAGGGGCCAGCAAGATAGCTCAGGGGTCTAAGGCACCTGCTTAGGCAAGCTTAGGCAAGAGCCACCCCCCCCCCATCCCAAGCCTTCCTAACCCTGCCCCCAGGGCAGGCTGAGCCAGCCACAAAAAATAAAAAAGGTAAACAGACTGTAGTAAATGATGGGGTATTCTACATGAATACACATATATTGTTTCCATAATGAATAATTTCTCTTCCTTGTACTCAGAATTACTATTACCCTTTTCTGAGAGTCATTCACTAGCAAAAGACATTTATAATCTACTATGTCAAAGGTAAGGACAAATGTCTAAGTATTGCCTTTGAATCAGTCTGGATTAAGACTCCAGCCCTGCCACTGATAAGCACTGAATGAGGCATTAAACTTGTCTGGGCCTCAGTTCCTTCATCTTTAAAAATAGGAATTATGCCCTCAAAGGATAAATAAGAGCCAAACAAGATAAAATATGTAAGGCCATTTATAAGAGCACGAAAGAGCAGGACCAAATGCCTAGCTCCGGTGGTGTGACAGCTTCCGTCTCCTCGTGAGCCTAACACAAGCCTGTAAGGTACAGCTGGCTAATTTTCCTTTTTAAACACAATTTCAAGTAAAAATGAGTCTGTTCTTTTAAATTTTTCTAGGTAATTATGCTTTCTTTCTTTATAAGGCAGCCATCTTAGGAATACTAAGCTAAGAATTTTCTAATCATTCTTAGATTTGACACAGTGTTGCAATTTTAATTTCATTCAGCAGTGATTTTATATTTTACCTCTCCTGACTATGAAGGAAATTTCATTTAGTTTAAAAACTCTTTCTAACTTCCAGGGTATCTTGACACACAACTATCAAGATAGCATTAATAAGCCTTTTTCCTCATCTTTATCTCTGGCACAGCTATAAGATGTTTAAGCTGACCCTTTTCCTTTTTACCCAGGGCCTTTTGCTTTATGGAAATCACACCTGCCTAGGGAATTAACAGTATTTGAATAAAAATGTATTCATCCACAACCACATGTTCCTCTCTGAATTAGGTATTTTCACCTTATTGCACATCGAGCTAATCAAGTCCTAATGATGCTGCATTTAATTCAATCTCAGGAGGTACAATTTTCCAATTGAATCTAAACAATGCATGACCTTTATGGTGACTTCCATAAATATAGAATTATTTCAATTACTCCAGCTAGCAGGGGATAGACAGAAAGAACAACCATTTTACTTGGACAATAGCTTCTGTGTGCTGCTGGGCTCTTCATTTCTCCTCGCTTTCTCTAGCCTGCTCCCATGAATACAATGTCTTTTTAACATCCCTCTCAGGGCGGTACAGGAGACCCTATCCATCTCCAGTCGGTGGCGGCGCAGCAGCCAAGCATCTCATTACTGCAAAGTGAAGCATTCTGGGAGAGTGGATAGAAAAGGCAGACAGCGATAGGAAAGGAGGGAGAGAAGAGGAGGACTGGAGCGGCAGCAAACACATGCTCACTTCCTTGGTGAGGATAACCTGTGTGGAAGGAAGAACTTCTTGTTTTAGAAAGGAGAAGCACATGCAATGTAAACCACCTGTGACTAAGCAGATTCCAGTCTCTACAACACAGTCACAGCTGCCTCAGACACCTCACACCTCCCAGTACTCATCTCTGAGCCCCCAGTGGAAGTTACCGTGGGAGCCATGTTGGTGGGGGGAAAAAAGCAGTAAGTCCAAGCATTTAAGAAAAATAAATGGTTCCAAAACTGAAAAAGAATCTGGAGACACAAATGTATATATGTAGGCATGCAAATGTACACACACACACACACACACACACACACACACACACAATTACTAGCTTACTGACTGAAAATATTTTCTTTCAATTAGCCTGAACACTTACTTTCACTTTGCTCCCCTGCCTAAGCCAAGACATTAAAGCAAATGCTTTTAACATTGTGGGGGTCACAGAGCACTCAAGAATCACTGAATATGGTAATTCTCTACAAAAGCCTGAAACACATCCATGCCCATCCCAGCATGCCCTACATTAAGAATTTGTACATTAGACATTCATTTGAGTTAACAAGTATTTCCTTTTTCAGATCCAAGGGCTTCAGGCAGTAGTCAGTGGCTCTCAGTAATTTTGTTAGTGGGAGATTAGTTCCACTCTGTTAGCTTTCCTCCTGAGTCCAGCTGACATTTGAGCCTGTGCTTAAATAATGGGAATTTTGTTGAGGAGCTGGTGGGTGAAGTGAGCAGATCCAGGCTGGCGAGCAGTGGCAGAGGAGGGAAGACCAAGCTCGGGCTCAGGACAGTGTGAAGGTACTGGTTGTGAAACGAGAGAGATGTAGTTTTCAGAAAGAAGATGCCAAGATTAAACTTCATTTCTTATTGCAATTCCTTTGCTTAGTGCTAGCCAAAAGTGCTTTTACTGCAGAAATCCTACCTCCCCCTCCACCCTGGTTCTGAGCCCCCCATAATCTCCCTTTGCCCCCTTTCTTATATAATAGTTTCCTCCTCCTGTTTCTGACCCTCGGTCCTGATCAGCATCTTGAGGCCCTGAAATGGCAGCTCCCCCTGCACTCTAGGCCTCCCACCTCTTCTAGCTCCACACTGCACCCTCTACCCCCACAGCCTGGTCAGTTAACCTGCAAGACCCGCTGTGAGTCCACTGCTTGTTTTTATTCTTTTTTTTTTTTTTTAATATGGAATGCTTCACGAATTTGCGCGTCATCCTTGTTCAGGGGTATGCTAACTTCTCTCTGTATCCTTCCAATTTTAGTATATGTGCTGCTGAAGCAAGCACAAGTTTTTTTTGTTTTGTTTTTTGTTTGTTTTTTCCTTTTTCTGGTACTGGGGATTGGACTCAGGGCCTTGTGCATGCTAGGCAAGCGTTCTACCTCTGAGCTACATCCCCCAGCTTGTTTTTATTCTTCATCCCTACATCTCACAATCGCTTTTTCTGTCTCTGAAACTCTCACCACAACCTAGGCCTGTACAAAACTGCTAGCTGCATTTTATAACTTCAGTTTTGGGAAGCATTTTGAAACCATAGATAATAGATTAAGGGACAGAAATAACCATCAAACATTTAAGTTCTGATCACTTTGGACCAGTACTGTTCTGAGTACACATATAATTTATTTAATCCTCTCAACAATCCCAAGAGGTAGATACCTTTATAAAATTCATTTTACAACTGAGGAGATTGAAGCAAAGAAAGGTAAATTAACTTGTCCAAAATCACACAGTAGTTGCTGTGGAACTAGGAGACTCAAACACAAACAGGCTGGCATCAAATCTGTACTTTCAATCACTGTGTTATTTCACTTATTTTTATACCCATCCCCCACCCCAACACCAACTCCAAGTCCTTTGAGTCCAGAAATATGTCTGTTTTTCTAACTCCATGAGCAGATACACCCAGAATAGTCCCTCAGACCAGGGCAAATCTGCCCATGTTAGTGGCAATATGAGTCACTGTTCCTCCTATTCCAGAGTATGAGTCTTCTCTGTTTTTCAGCAATGAGAAAGTACACTTCTGCAAGGTTAATTAATCCCTTACCTTCAATCTTTGTCTTAGACAAAGTCTCTAGACACAAACAAAATGCAAACTTTCTGACAAAGTGTAGCACACATGGTCTGGAGTCCAACAGCGAATGCAATTCTCCCCAACAGCCTGGTCTTTACCAGCATCATTTCTATCAGCATTTCAGTGTTTTGAACTCTAACCAGAATCTCCCATCAAGTATAATTTAAAGCATTCCAGACAGTTTCATCAGCCAGCATTTCCAAACCTTTTCAAGTTCTTCCCATAAGTCAATTCCCAAGGCTCAGAAACTATGTGTTCAATTACAGTCGAGCAATGACCCCACTCCTGGTACCAAACATCTCTCTTATTCACTTTTCCTGTTGTTAAGCCAAAATACCCAACACGCAAAGTTAACAGAAAAAAATTTTGTAGAGGTTTGTAGAGGTTTCACTCCACAGTCAGCTGGCTCCAAGGCAGGGTGGTATGGCAGAGAGCATCACAGAGAAGAAATAGTCAGTGTCAAAGCAGGGCAAGCAGAAGCCAAAAAAACAGCAACATAGTAGAGAAGTTTCTTGCTATCCCTTTATGTTCCATCCAGGCTGCCGTTTAGGTGGTGCCACCTACACCCAGGGTGGGACATACTTAATCCCAGCATTAACCCTTCATCCCAACATCACATCATTAATTCTAACATTACACACCCTAATCCAGCCACCCAAGGGGCCGGGAAGATGTCTCAGTGGAATAAGCACTTCCCTGGCAAGCGCAAGGGCCTGAGTTCAATCCCCGGTTCTGCAAAAAAAAAAAAAAAAAAAGACCCTAATCCAGCCACTTTAGGAATTCCCCACCCATGATGGCATGAGGCTCTATGGGGTACATCTAGATACAATCCACAACACTTAAGGTTAGTTTTCTAATATAAGTATTGGAAGACTTAATATATATATGGAGTCTTATATATATGAGTCTTATATATATGGAGTCTTATAATCTAATATAAGACTAATTAGTCTTCTAATATTAGTTAAGTATATTAGAGGACCCAAAAACCAGACCATATGTTGAGGTATGTGAGAGTGGTGTCCAAAGCAGCAGACTGTCACAACAGTGTGGTTTAAAGGATTGCTGCAAAACTGTACCACATGCTCCTACCTTTCCATGCCCACAATGGAAGCATTAGTCCTCTCCCAGGGCCATGTTCTAGGTACACTGGACTCCTTACTGTCACCCTTGTGCATGGGTCTCTTGAATAGACAGACCTAATTTTCAGGCCCTCTTCAGCAAGTAAGGGCAAATCTCACTATTTGTTGCCTAAACATATTAATAGGTTAAAGAAAACTTATCTGAGCCTAAATAGCATTCTTAAGGAAAACCACAGAGAGAGCCTGAAGAATTGAAGAAGAACAGAGCTACCATGGTTATTGTATCTTAATGATCTTTGAAAGGTGTTAGGACCAATTCCATGTGTAAGAGACTTCTTAGCATCACCAGTAGAGATACTTCTCCCTTCTCTACATGCCTGTGTTCCCTTACTATAGTTTGGATCTGGACTATATCCTAAGGCCTGTGTGTTGAAAGTTTCATCTCCAAGGAGTCCTGTTGGGAGGTAGTAGAATCTTCAGGCGACAGGGCCAGGTGATAGTGTTTAGATCATGAAAATCATGTCCTTGAAATGGACTATAGGACTGTGGTCTCTTGCCCTTTCCCCTTTGCTCCGTGCATCAAGACATGAACAGTGTTGCTCCACCAAGGGGCTCCTATCATGATGTGCTACCATAGTCCAACAGCAACGAGGCCAGCCCATCAAGAACTAGAACTTCCAAAACTGTGAGCCAAAGTAAAGTTTCTCTCTCTCTCTCTCTCTCTCTCTCTCTCTCTCTCTCTCTCTCTCTCTCTCTCTCTCTCTCTCTTTGGTGGAACTTGGGATTGAACTCAGGCCCTTGCGCTTATTCTACTAAGCTATCTCCCCAGCCCAGGCTTTTCTCTTAATTACTGCAGGTATTTTGTTTATAGTAACAGGAAGCTAACAATATCTTCCTTTGTTTTGTATTTCTAGAGCATGAATTACCCCCACCCCACATCCCTAACACAGACCACAAACTACAGAGTGATTTAGACTGATTCATATGCCCTAGAGATGTCTACGTTCAGGATCTATTTTGACTAACTTGCCATGATCAAGACACACCCGTCCAATGTCTCATCCCCTCAGATCCTTGCGGATGACTGGCTTGTTGATCTTGGATAAGCTAATTCAGGGAAAAATGGAGATGAGTTAAGATATTATCCCTTACAAGGATACTACATTGAAAAAAAGATACCTAAAGATGGCATAATATCAATCAACTCCCAACCCATTTCTCCAAGCCACTCCTCCCTGTCCTCCAGTGTCCTCCTCCTGCCTCTTCCCTCATACTACTCAGGCTCACCTCCATTAAGCCTTCCTTGACAGAGGCTACCTCTAGTCATATCTTCCTACTGCTTGTCCATAGCACTAGAACAGAACTTGGCAACAGAATCAGAACTGCAACAAAAGAAGTAGAATGTTGGGCTGGACCATCTCAGAGGAGAGCTCAGCACATCCCTTCATTTTACAAGTGAGGGAACAAAGACACAGAAGCGACTGGCTCATAGTATGTTGATGGTGCTTTAGAAGATACCAGGAGTTGTTTGTGGCTGGACCCTCATCTTTCACTGGGAAGGACCTCTTCTTCATCTGGGGAACTGCTTTGTGGCCCATTTATTAAACAATGCTCTGGTGGGAGCTGCCAAACAGGGAGTTCCTACTCCTAATGTACAGGTTACCTCAGCTAGGCCAAATTGCCTTCTTGTCTAGGATTTTAGAAAACTAAAATTGAAGTGAAGCAATCTCTATCTGTGGGTTCATAGGTGCCAGCAACTATGGCTCCTGTCTTAGAGAAAAACCAATCCTAGAAAAATAGGTAACAGAAACACTTTTTTTGTCCAATACTGGGGATTGAACTCAGGACCTTGTGCTTGCCAGGCAAGCACTTATTCTACTGAGCTATCTCCCCAGCCCTAACAGAACCACTTACTTGTTTGATCATTTGTTCATTTGTTCATTCATTCATTTCTTCATTCATTCATCCATTCATTCATGATATTGCCATTATTTGTTAAGGTCTTGTGTCAGACACTGTACTCAGTTCTAGGAATAACAAGCACATTGAGCCAACATAGTTCCAGTTTCTGTCTTTGTGAGATTCTGGGCTTATAGGAGAGACATTCTTTAAATCATGTAAGCAAAGTAAAGCTACCATTTTAAAATAAATGAGAGAAAAAGTATACATCCCTCAAAGAGCATATGATAGAGGATAACAGAGGCTCAGCTGATGTGTTCAGTTGAACAATTAGCTCATTACATAAAGGATCACAAACTAAGAGAGGCATGTGGGCTGAAATCCACTTAGACTCTCCTCACTCTGCCCTGAGTCTTGGTGTGAAACTGTGTATGACCAGAGAGAGGGACAGTCTGTTCTCACATACTGATGTGGTCCTTTCAAACAGGTCACATTTTCATAGCTTGGCCTGAAATCTTGAATATCTAAGATTCTGGAGCTTTTGACCCAGTCAAGGAGATGAGTGTCACGTGAGAGGTGACTGGAGTTACAGGGATATTATTAGAAAAATCCAGGCAGGAGGAAGAGCTTTGCAGATGCAGGAAGGAACCATGAAATGGCCTTGTCTCAATGATTTTTTTTTGTCCCTGGTTCCAGTTGCTTCTGAGGCCTGACTGATTGCTTGCTTTTCCAATTCAACTTAGGCTTCTGTCACTTGCAATCAGGGAGTCTGGCTCATACACAAAGCTTGTCTGGTGTCCTTCTTCCCTCATTCAGCACACTTCCATTATTTCAGCCAGGCCCCATCCTCCATGCGGTTTCCATGGAAACATCTCTTTTGTGTCTACTGGAAGAGATCTTCAGTGATTTATCATGGTTTCCAGAAGATACTAGAAATTCAAAAATCATTTCATGAATCAAGGGCTGACCAACACTTTCCTAATAGCCATTTTCCCACTATGGCTAGATGAGGAGGTGATGTATCAAGAGACAGAGTGTTCCATGCTTCTCTTGTCACCCACCAAATTTATGCCTGACTTTCTACTGGCCCTGCACAGATGAGGTCTCCGGCTTATATTTACGTTATTAAATAGCTCTGATTTGTATACAGTTTGGTGATGAATAGCTAGAGGGATTGATTTCCTAAGGAAAAGAGTCTTCAGCTTTTATTCTGCCTCAGCATATGGAAGCCAG